AAATATCCCAGGGACATTGGTTCCCCCTCTCCCATTTCTGGCCTCAGGTTGCTTCCTAAGTGACAGATGGAGCACTCACAGACCTGACACTGCTGGAGCCAGCTCTTTGGCACTGCAGCCTGGCAGATTGACGATGGCTGAAGCAGCTTCATACACCACCATTTCATGTTTGTTTCGCAAGCAGCTCTCAATGAAGTCAAACAGTGGACTGTCGCGGCTGTAAGAGACCCACAGGTAGCAAGAATCCGGGGACAGAATGTGCTATAATTCTAGCACTACGGAGGCTGAGGCAGGGGGATCATTTTGAGTTCAAGACCAGCCTGGACTACAAAGTGAGCTTAAGGCCAGCCAAGACAAAAAAAAAAAGCTGGAGACAGCTCAGTACAACAGGACCAAGGCAGGCTCTGATGGGAGGATGCATGATGCTCACCTGCCGTCCTCCTCTTCTAGTTGCTTGCTGGCCACTCGGATCATCATGCAGTAGGCGAAGGGTGACTTCAGGCCATGCCGGGTGAACTTGCTGATCATCTTGTTGACAGCCAGGCGGTCGTTCTTTCGCACATGGTACAGGAGCCCCAGTGCATGGTACTGGAGGACAGCAACAGCAGGGGACACTGGCTGTATGGCCCTGCAGAGGTCACTATGTGTCTGTCAAGCTTCAGCCTTCTGAGATGGGGGTTTTCACTATATAGCTCAGGCTGGCCTCAAATTCATAGCAATCCTCCTGCCTCAGCCTTCCAAGTGCTGGGATTACATTCATGTACCACCATATCACACCTGTTATATTTTTTTTTTTTATGTGTGTGGTATAGAGGACTGAGCCCAAGGCCTTTCTACTGAGCTACTGCCACATTCACTTTTTAACTTTTTTTTAAATAGCATCTTGCTAAGTCACTAAGTAACCTAGGTTAGGCTGGAACTTGTGTTCTTCCTGCCTCTGCCTCCTAGAATGCTGGTATTATGGGCATGTACCACCACCCTGTCTCCGCCTGAGTGTTTTCAGTATCTCTGCCCTTGTACCTTACCTGAACCATGATGTTATCGCTGGATGCTGCCTCCTGAGCCTCATTCACCCAGCGCTTGACCATGTCAAAGCTACACTTCAGCAGGTGCTGCAGGTACAGGGCAGGTGAGGGTCAGCCAGGACAGCCACTTGTTGCCCACCCTGGGCAGGGCTCCCAGGCTTCTTCCAGATGTAGTCCATAGCCTCAACATCCCCAGCTCTCACCTTTCACTAAAACCCAACTCCAATACCCTGTCATCCCACAGGTGATTCAAGGTCATGCACCATGGCCCTGCCGAACAACCCAGGGTCTCTTCATAGGAGATGGGTAGGACACTCAGACATGGTATACAGAACTATTCCTCCACCCCCACTGGAAAAGGACTAATATTTTCTCCTGTTTTCCTTCTATCCCACAGGGCCCAGCCGCATCTACATACCAGGGAAGACACCAAGGCAGAACTAGAGACACTGGGCACCTTGTCCACAATAGCCTGCTTCATGTAGCGCTCAATGGCCTGCAGCATGGTACTCTGCGGGGACAGAAGTAGAGAAGTGGGGACCCTCAGGAGTACAGTTATAGGGTATAGAGGAGGAATATGAGTAAGACAACAATTGAGGTGTTCTTGCACACCCCAGCCCAGGCAACAGGGAACAGCTGAAAGTGTGTGCAGAATGCAGGAAGGCATGGACTCACGTCAGTGATCTGGCACAGGGCACGCACAGCCGGGCCCCTATAGTTGTCCTCTTTCCCAGTCATGTCTTTTGTCAGGCTGCAGGGGACATGGAATGTCATTGACATGCAGGGTGCTGACACCAGCCCAGTCCTCTCCAGCTCCCCTGCTGCCACACCTGCCTAGGGTACTACACAAGTCTCTTAGCTCATGCTGAACCCATTCCTTCTACCAAGCCAAAAGGCAGTGGGACATGTGGTGCATACCTATAATCCCAGCATTAGGGGAGCTGAGGCAAGAGGATCACCGTGAGTGAAATCACCAGTCTAGGCCAGCCTGAACTACATGGTGAGACCATGTCTCAAAAAAACTAAACAAAAAAGGGGCCAGGGATTTAGCTCAGTGGCACAGCACCTGCCTGGCAAGCATGAAGTCCTGAGTTGGATTCCCAGCACCAAAAAAAAAAAAAAAAAAAAAAACTAAACAAAACAAGTCCTAAGCTGTCTCAGATGACTGAGAATCACAGAAATAAGGATTTGTCCCTAAGTCAAGGCCAGGCAAGTCAAAGGGAAACAGACCACTTTGGAGGCTGTGCTTTTACAAACTACAGGATGAGGGACAGTAGAGGAAAGGGCATCTGGCCCTATGCCAACCAAAAGCCTCTTCATCTGTAAAAAATCACCAAAGGGTGTGTCAACAGACCCCATGGAAGAGCCTCCCATTGCACCCTAGAATCACCTGCTGGTAACGATGATGACATCCTCTGCAATGCAAGACATCTCCTTGATGGTCAAGTAGCACATTCGCCGTAGTGTGGGCTAGGAAAGACATGGGAAAAGGCCTATCAGTCTGCTCAGTGAGGACACCAGAACCAGAAGAAATCACCAGTCTAGGCAAAGGCAGCCCATATCTTTCTGAAGGGAAAGCTGATTCAGGGACACTTACGTCATTGGACTGAAAAAGTTTGGTCATGGCAAAGAAGGCCTCCGTTGCTTCAGTGGTCCCCAGGTGCTCCCCCTGTGGTGATCAAGAAAGAAACAGCCTGGGACACAGGACTCAGGTCCCACACAGCTCCGCCAAAGGCAAAGGCAGTGAGTCAAAGAAGGATGCATAGGAGACCCAGAGCTACAATGTAAGAGAGGCTATCAAACAGTCCAAAGGTGCACCCTTCTCAACAGTCCCCAGCAACCTTCCCCTTGCCCACTTACCTGGTTTATGAGGTAAAGAATCTTGGTGAGGATGTGGGCACATTTCCGAGGGTTGATGGGAGTTTCATTAAAGACACGGGCCTAAGAAAAAGTCATTGAGGGTATTAGCTGTGAGCCCAGTTCATTTGCCTTCCACTGAATTCCCTCTGGTACTTCAAGGTCTGAGAAGTCACAGAAGAAACATATACACCAGTCTATGCAAGATTATCTCACAAGGAAAGAGTTTGTTTTTAAATAATCTATTAAGAGTTCCTAAAAATCCCCCCTAACTTTTAGAGATGTGCTGACCTACTGACTAGCAAATGCTTGGCAAATATTTTTAAGTGGAAAGAGAAATGAAGAAAAGAAATCTGAGGGGCTGGTGAGATGGCTCAGTGGTCTAATGCACCTACTTAGAACAAGCTTAGCAAAAAGCACATGGACCGCGGTTCAATCCCCCAGCACCACATGCCAGCCAGCCCCACCCCCTGGTGGGCTGAGCTGGACACACACACACACACACACACACACATAAATTTAAAAAAAAAATTAAAAAAAAAGAAAAAGAAAAGAAATCTGAGCTTTACAAGGGCTGGCCAGATAGCTCAGCGTACTCAAGTGCCTGCTGAGGCAGAGCATCGCAGCCAGAGTTCCATCCCCTGAGTGCCATACCAGACCCGCCCCCAGGGTGATCCACTGGGTGTGGTGGCGCCTGCCTGTAATCCCAGCACTTGGGAGGCTGAAAACAGGAGGATCACTAGGAGTCCAATCTACATAGTGGGACCCTGTACCAAATACATTAAAAAAAAAAAAGCCTAAGCTTTACAAACTCTACAAAAACCAAGTTTTTCGGCACAGGCTTTCTTTGCAGTCACTCTGAAAATCAGCACTCTGAAGGAGTCAGTATTCTGGCTGTACTGTTGGTGAACATTCATGACGAGGACGGAGGCACATGTAACACTGACCTCCTGGAGTACTGAACTTTTCTCCAGGTGCTGGAATGGGTTGGAGCCTCCACCTACAGTCAAAGAGAACAAAGGAAACCAGTTTCAGAGAGCGATCCTGAGCTTTAAAACTCCTAGACACATTAAAGAGAAAGCTTGGGGCCAGGGAGATGACTCATTGGAATAAGTGCTTCCCTGGCAAGCGCAAGGGTCTGAGTTCAATTCCCGGTTCCACCAAAAATAAAGAGAAAGCTGTCCCAGCTCTCTACCCTGGACTCCTCCAGAATGGCACTTGAGGCTCTACAGTCTGACTATAGATCCTACCACGATTTTTCCACTCTGCCCCAACCCCCAGAAGCCCTGACAGTCCTCTGTGCCACCTCCTGCAGTCATTCATGAATCTGTACTTAACTAAATCCCTAGGTGCAAAAAAACAAAAACAAAACAAACAAACAAAAAAAAACAACCTGTGACCAAATTTCCCTCACTGCAGGCACCCATTTGTAACCAATTATGTGCGTGACTACCCACGTGATGTCAGTTTCCTGCATTCCATGACCATTCTAATACTGTAAACCTCTTGTCCTACCACAGGATCAGGACGCCTACAGAGCCTGGCATGCAGCAGGCGCTTAATCTGTTTTCGGATCCAATGAATGAAGAGCCCACGCTTGTCACCTACAGCACCAGTTAAGCCCCTATGCAGCCAGCACCAACGCAGGCCAAGCAAATACCAAAAAGTTGGACAGAAACGGCACAAGGTGCATCCGGCCCGGCCCCCTCCTTTGACAGACGGGGGAAACCGTGGCCCACACAGGATCATGACGGGCACAAAGTCGGTCAAGCAGTACGTCCCGGCTGAAGCTCACATGTGGGAGGAGGCGGGGATCTCCTGTTAGGCAGATTGAGACCCGAGCCTCTGCGTGTCACTGGGCTTCGGAGCTAGCGCCAGGACAAAGGCCGCGAGGGAGGGCTCCCACGGAAGGCTAGAGAACCTGCGCTACAGGCCGGCCTCCCCCAGTCCTTCCGGACCCCTCACCCGACTCCTCGTCCTTCTTGTCGAATTTCTTCAACATCCTGACGCCAGTCGGGGCGCAAGCAGCGGCGCTAGGAGGTATCGACGCGGTGCACTACGACTCCCCGGCCCGCGTCCCACCCGGACCACTTCCGGGCTCCGGCGGCCACGTCGCCCTGCGCTCTGCGCCTGCGCGCCCCGCGCCCCGCGCCTGCGCACACCGCGCCGCCGCCGCCGCGTCCCGTTAACTCTGTCCACGCCGCCGCGGCGACGGGGTGGGGGTGGGCGTGGGGGTGGGGGCCCCGCGGCCCGCGGGGTAGAGGCTTGAAGACCCCACAGTGACCCAGGCCTATTTTCAGTCCTTACGCAGACCTGATGTAAGGGCTTTCGGACATGAGGGATGCAGCGCCCCGACCCACAGGGGATACCCAGTTAACGTCACCTGTCGTTACTGTCACATCCAGGAGGCCTTCTTGACAGCGCCTCACTCGAGCCTGACGTTTTTACTCTGTTTCTTCTACTGTCTTTCGCTGTCTGCCAGGGATAATATTGGTGGGTAATAGTGGCTTCGTGGGTGTATGAGTGAACAAATGCAGGACATTGCTGAACTAATTCGTTTCTGCCCAACCCTGGTCACGCCTGCTCCTGGCGCACGTCGCTTCGTATTTATCAACGTCCAAGGAGCTTCCCGAAGGAAAGGCTGGGCCTGGGGCTGCAGTGTCGCCTGGCGCTGGGGCCAGCGGGCCACCACAGGAGAATGCCGCGTCGCCCCAGCTTGACCGCCCGGGGACCCACGCGGGACCGCGGAGGCTGAGGTGAGCACGGGCGGCGCGGCCCGAGGCGGGATGGCCAGGCGCCGCGACGCGCGACGGTAGGTTGCTTGGAGAGGGGCCAGTTCCCAAACCTGGCGAGCCGGGTGCGGAGAGGCAGGGCTGGGCCAGGGATCGCAGGTGACAATTCAGCCTGAGGAGTAGCAGCCTTTACTGTTCAACTTGGCAGAACCTGAGAGTGGATCACGCCCCAACGGGAACTTGTCAAGAGCCAGAAATGATCGAAACCCATCATCCATAATGCTGCAGCTCAGTAGAAAGAAATTACCCAATTAAAAAAAAAAGGAAAGAAAATTTCAGCTGCAACAATTAGCAGCAAGATGGTTGGAAAAATCCTAAATGTTCATTGAAAGGTGATAATTAAGAAAATGATGATATATATTGGATGAAATATTCTACACTAGGTGGTGGCCCACACCTCTCATCCTAGCACTCAGGAAGCTGAGACAGGAGGCTTGCTGTGAGTTCGAGGTCAACCAGGGCTTTGTAGTGAGTTCAAAGCCAGCCTTCACTACATAGCAAGACCTTGTTTCAAAACACCAAAGGGGTGGGGCAGAAAAAAATTGAATATTTATTGAATTGTGTTAAAATAATGAAATACAGGTGATTGTTTGGGTTAAAATATCCTTTTATGGGATTCTATTCTGCAGACTACCAAGAACAATTTCTCCTATACACTTCTGACCACGAGAATTGTGGACTGTGGCTCCAGCTCTGAATATGGCCACACCTATAATTACAAGGATTTTTTTTATTTTATTATTTTTAAATGCAATATGCATTCATTATAATTGCTATGTCCTTTGTAGAAACACAGGATACAGAAAGGGCAAGAAGGAGCCAGAGATTTAGCTCAGCAGCACAGAACCTGCCTGGAAAGCACAAGGTCCTGAGTTCAATTCATTGTCCCAAACAAAAAAACACAAAACCAGAAAGAGCAAGAAAAAGATGAATGTGGTAGCACATGACTGTGACCCCAGCACTCTGGGAAGCGGAGGCAGAAGGATTGCAAGTTTGAGCCCAGCCTACCAACTTAATTTAACAAGACCCTATTTCTACATAAATGAAAAGAGTTGGAAAGGTCCTGGGTTCAGTCCCCTGTACTGGGAGAAAGAAGATCTATTTAACTCTGTAGCATGAATCTGTATTTCATTTTTATGACTGAATAATATCCCACTTTATGGCTATAACATGTTTTGTATATCCACTGATGGACATTGGGGGCTCTTGTGAATAATCCTGCTGTCAATGTTAATATACAAGTTTTTTGGGTTGGGTTGGGTTTTGTCTTTAGGGGTTTTATTTTGTTTTGTTTTGAGACAGGGTCTTACTATGCAGTTCAGACTGGCCTTGAATTCACTTTGCAGTGATCCTCCTATCAGCACCCAAGCATTGGGATTATAGACATGCACTGCCACACGTGACTTGGTGGTTATATATATATATATATATATATATATATATGTATGTTTTTTTTTTTTTTGGAGATAGTGTCCAGCCTGGCTTCTTTGAACTTCCTATGGAGTCTGGGCTGGCCCAATATTGTGATTCTCTTCTCTCAGCCTTCAGAGTAGCTAGAATTACTGACATGTGTCTCCATGCCCAGTAAACACACACACACACACACACACACACACACGAAAGCATGTTTCACTTTCTGGATAGGGTCCTCAGAGCTACAAATGCTTTTTTATTTTATTTATTTATTTATCTTTGCAGAACTAGGGATTGAACTCAGGACCTAGGACTTACCAGGCAAGTGCTTATTCTACTGAACTATCTCCCTAGCCCTACAACTGCTTTTAATTTTGATGAAATTCCACTTAATTGTTTTGTCTTTCATTGCTTGGGCTTTTGGTGTCATACCTAACAAATAACTGCTTTAGCCAAGGTCATTAAGTTTTACCTTATTTTCTATGAGTTTTATGTTTTGCCTCTTATTTTCCTTTAGGTTTTTACATGATGTAAGGTAGAGGTCCAACTTAAGGAGTCCTGGAACCATTTGCTGAAAAGATTATTCCTTTCTGCATCGAATTGTGTATCATCGTTGTTGAAATCAATTTTTCATTAATGTATGAACTTTTCATTCTATTCCTGTGACCTATATACTCTAGTTTTGAAAGAGGTTATCATTAGAGGAAACTGGGAAAGGGTACCAAGATCTCTCTGTATTATTTTTTGTAATTGAATGTAGATATATGATTATCTCTATAAAAATGTAGTTTTAAAAAAGTGGTATAAGTCTGGCCAGATAGCTCAGCAGAGTAAAACATCTGCTTAGGCAGACACAGGAACTGGGATTCAATCCCTGGCTGCCGTGCTGGCCCTGCCCTTGGAAGATGCTGAGACTGCAATTGAGACTGGGCACGGGCCTGTAATCCTAGTGCTTAGGAGGCTGAAAACAGGAGGATCACTACAAGTCTGATCTGTATAGTGAGACCCTGTAGACCCTGTACTAAATACATAAAATTTTAAAAAATTAAAAAGTGGTATATATTAGTTTTAACCATCTCCCATCCCCCAAAGGAAAGAAATTTAGGCCTACTCTGAGAATTGCTGTGTTTCTCTGAGATGCCCTCTTGTACCCACTAGAGGGCACCAACTCTCTTTTTACTTCTAGTTTCGAAGCAGCCAGACCATGAAGCCCAGTTGTCAGGCTGTCTCTGAGTAACCCAGGATCTAACCTAGATGCCCTGAGTGTGACAGGGAGACACAGAGCCACCCTTGATTTTCGTGCAGTTTCCAGTCTCATAAAATGAGATTTCAGGCTTGTATCCATTTTAGAAGCCCCTCACTGACTGAACAACTACTGTTATATAACACTAGGAAAATAACAGTCCTTGGAGTGTAAACTATGATGAAAAAAATTAAGACTGGGTATGGATCACTAGTAGAGCACTTGTCTAGTGTGAGAGAGGTCCCTAGCAATGAGTAAATCAAACTTTCTTTGAGAATAAAATAATAAATATATAGGCCAGGTATGGTGGTACATGTCTGCAATCCCAGCGCTCCAGAGGCTGAAGCAGGAAGATTGTCATGAGTTCAAGGCTAGCCAGGGCTATATAGTGAGTTCAAGACCTCTAAACTATGTAGTAAGACAACCCTGTCTGGAAAAAGAAACAGATAACACATATAATTCCACCTTGTAATAGATGTGACCATTTGGAGCCAGTAGGTAGCCTTGTAAGTGCTGGCATCTCAAGATTCACCAGTAGATAGGATCCTACGTGTAGTTTTCTCCAACCCACCTAAAGAAAAGTTCAGAGAAACATCTCTGTGTTTTTCACTGTCACAAAAATTGACCCTCTGAGAAGACTATGTCCACTGCTGAAGGATCCACTGCTGAAGGATGCACAGCTGCAGAGACAGACTATCTTCACACCTAACTTTCTAAAGGTTTTTTAAAAAGGAAAAGAAGCAATGAGAAAAGGGTAAAATGGAAACAAAGCTTTGTAAATAAGGAGGGGGAGAGAGATTGGAGAGGAGAGGTATGTGGGAAAAAAGAATTAAGATATACCACATAGGATGTGAGGGCAATCTGGCTGTGACGTCTATCACCCCATTGATTGCCAGGGTTGATTCAGCTGATCTGGATGGCTAGGCAGGTGTCCCCTTCCTCCCTCAACGATCCATGTGCATCCCTCCCAAAGCTGTGCGCTCGGTCGAAGAGGACGACCACCCCCGATAGAGGAGGACCGTTCCTTGGTCAAGGATATATGAGTAGCTGCGCTCTGCTTCTAGGACCTCCAAACAAGCTCTCAAGATATACCACATAACACAAGGGCCTGAGCTCAATCCCCAGTTCTGCCAAAAAAAAAAAAAGATACAGCATGTAAGAGAAATTTTTATATTTAGAAAAGAAAATTTTGGGGTATTGAGAATAGAACTTAGGGCCTTAGGGCCGACCAGATAGCTCTGCAGATTAAAGCGCCCACTTAGGCAGACACAGGGACTGAGGTTTGCTCCCCAGTGTGTTGTGCAGGCCCTGCCTCCAGGGTGCACTGAGGCCATGATTGAGACTGGGCATGTCGCATGGGCCTGTAATCCCAGTGCTTGGAAGGCTGAAAACAGAACGATCAGTACGAGTCTGATCTGTGTAGTGAGACTATAGACCCTGTACTAAATACATTTTTTTTAAGAAGGATTTTTTTTTTGGTGGCCTCAGGATACCTTCCAGTAAACTCTGGTTTGGCTTCAGGGTCTGGGGATCGAACCACAGCATCCTGAGCCTCACTGCTTTGTTTCAACAGGCACTTAAACCACTGACCTTATTGGCAGGCCCCCACTAAATACATTAAAAAAAAAGAGAGAGAGAATTTAGGGCTTGCACTTACCAGGCAGATACT